AAGGCTAATGTGCATCGCAGCCAACCGGAAAAAAAACGCAGAGCAAAGCTAGTCCTCATATGCTGATTAGACACATGCTGATGGGTTGGGATCACCCACTGGGCCTCATGTCTGTTAATGGTAGGATCTCCAGGTCCCCCCAGTCCATGACACCTTACCCACATCATTTATCCTGCTGAAGGTTTGAGCTTAAAGTGACACTAAATTATATATTTATTCTGCAAAAAATCTTCCATACTCAATAATTAATTAATGGCCCTGTAATTAATTTTTCATGAAATCATTTCTGTGTTTTCTTTCTCCCTAGGATATCCTCTATGAGCTACCAAGCCTCTCCTTTTCCCTCCTCACTTCTGTCTGTTTGAAACAAGCAGTGAATGTTAGTTGTGGTTACATGCACTGCTTTATGCACACTACACATCCCAGAGTCCCTAGTCTATCGCAGGAGCAAGCAAGAGGATGGCTATGCTCCTTCTTACAGTGGGACCATGGAGAAGAAATAATAGCCACCCTGTAACAGAAAGTCAGAGCATACAAGGTAAAAAAGGGAGATTTGGAGGAGGCAGAGCAATACAAGGTTGGAACCAAGGTAAATATCTGTGCCTTTAGTTCTACTTTAATATGGGTCCCTGCCCTAGAACAATTATCCATGTCAGGAAAGTCATACAATACACCGGTTGTACAATCTCCTTTAGATCTACCAACATCTATGTAGTGCAAGGGCCTGTCTGATTGAATACAATTGATTCGTTAGATTGGGTAGGCCCTCATAGTACATAGTTTTGGTTAGGTCCTCATGCACACCGGACGTTTTTATAGCGGCTGTTTTTGGCTTTTGGTGTTTTTTTTCTACAGCCAGTAAACTCCCCCATGCATGTCATGCCTATGTGTCCATGCAAACATAGGTTGTAATCAGTGTTTTTTTTTTGGCTGGAAAAAACCCCAGAACTAGTGGATTTCTAGAGGAGTTTTTTTAGGTGTAAAAAGCTCTAACGCTTTATGTAAAAAAAAGCAAACCGGCGTTTTTATCTTTTTTTTAGCAAAAAAAAAAAAATTTGTGTCCAATTTAAGGTCCAAGCTGCACAAGGTTGATGTTGGAGTGCCCAATCAGTAAACGGACCGGTGCCATCATGTGGGACGAAGGATTTGTCACATGTTGTCCCATACCCAGATGTATTAGTTATTTCTCTTTGCTGCCTGATGTCCAAACAAAGCAGAACATGATTGAAGTGAACAGTTATAGCAGTTCTTCGCCTTGTTTAAAAAAAAATAAAAAAATAAAAGTCAGCAGCTGCAAATACTGTAGCTGCTGATTTTTAATAAAAGGATGCCCACCTGTCCAAGGGTCCAACGCTGTCCTCACCACGAACTGTTTCTTCAGGTCCCTGGCAGGCCGACATCTTTACTGTGGGCAGCCAGCTGAGATTCTTTGTGGCTTTACAGCTGTCTGCCCACTGCACACGAGCGACCCATGCTGCGCTTTGTGAATGGTCCCACAGCTTTCTGGGACCTGTGATCACAGGTCCCAGAAGGTTGTGGGTGGTTGATGTTTTTTTTTTTTTTTTTACATGGATTTTATAATAAAAGAGTGATTTAAACTAAAGAATATGCTTCTGACCATTTCATGCTAACAACACATGTTGTTGAAACTGGAGGGGGTCCTGTAATATTGTAACAGGAATCCTGTTGCAATATTAAAATTCAGAACATATCTAGATTAGAGGAAACACACCAAGAAAAATACAGTGACAGCATAGTGTGTATTGACATGCCATCATCATCCTCAGAGTAGAGGACTCTACCGTTAGTAATACAATCACTGGTCAACCTAAAACTGGACTAGTTGCCCACTATAATACATGAACTTAGGCTCACTTTTCCAGATAAATTTCTGATATAAGTTCAACCAATGACATACTTCCTTTATCTCTTGTTGCCACAATAACCTTTATTGTCATCTTTATTTCCTTGCTCTCCTGGTTACTAACATTGAACAGTAGGGGGAGCTGTGTGACAACTAAACCATTACTTTGGCGCACTAACAAAATATCCCAAATTCATGATGTTTGAAGAACATATCCTGAGATCACCCTCAACACGCTTAAAAAAAAAAAATAAAAACGTATTCACGTCACATGAAAATATTTCACACGTTTCTCTTGGCCTAGTATTACAATAGAATACAAAAGAGTTTAACTTACAGTGTTACTAAACCCAGGACCCTCTATTCACTATATCTGGTCTCCCACAGTACACAGAATATGGGAGTGCAATTTTGTTTAGTAAATATAAACTGCTAAATACCTTTTCTCATCAGCACTTAGAGCAGTCTTGTGACTTATATCAGTGTCCAGTAGAGCACTGGTTAAAGCTTGTAGGAGTTTTCTTTCTGCTCTAAGAGGATGCAGAACCCCTGACCTCTGTCTGGACAGTGCTGATTGGCCTTGTGCTGATCACATGCACGCTCTCAAGAAAAAAAAAAAAGGAAACCTCTAGCACTACACACCAAACTGAGCTTGTGCAGAGTGTATCCACAGGATATGTCTTATCAAGAGATATGAGGGAGACACTGGAAGAAGGGGAGTATCAGAGAAGTCAGGATCAAACAGCATTTTTACACCATGCTTAGGTTCCCCTTAGGTTCCACAGTGAGTATAACAAGCATGCTTTACTGCATATACAGACTGATTTTACTGTTGTGGGTTTAGTAACACTTTAATAATTCAAAGTACATAAATGCCGAGCAACCAATCCAAGACCATAACTCACTGTCCTAACTGAACTGCAGTTGCTATAGATTTTCAATCAATCATAACTTTGCAATGGCTTTTAAAACACATCTCTCTACACATGTTTTTTTTTTTTGGGGGGGGGGGGGGTGATTGAGAGTCAAAACCTCTGTAATGGTTTCTTTGCTTCTGGTGTCTTCTGTGGGGAGATTTCAAGTCCCAGTGACACCAGGATGAGAAATGAGAAGGTGCAGGTGTCCCTAAGACAGTAATAAAAAAAACTGACAGATGTTCTAACCCCTTTTCTACTCTGCCTGCATCAGACAGACAACTGACAGACAGAAGATAGGTGGGTCTAAGTGTTCAGCCCTCTATAAAAAAAAAAAATTGGATGGAGCTTCACTTTAAATGCAGGATATGTTCACATTACTGACACAAATATCATACACATTCCAGTGACAGAGCTGATAACATATAACATACACAGTGCACAAACCACTGCAGTCTAGCACTCTCTTTGTGAAAGTATAAATAGGGGCTCTAGATTTGGACCCGTATACTGTTTGCTTGGGTGAGTTTCCCTGGCTCTATTAGAATAATCAATCGACAGATGTACAGCTGTGTACGCCAATCCCAGCTCTGATGTATATACACCAGGGGCTTCTAGCGGACTTAACCCCTACATTGCTGGACCCCTACCCCTATCTGCTTCCAACTCTTATCTGCTAGAAGCCCAAGTGAGTACTTATGTTGAAAGCAGAGGCACTTATGTTCCTCCATGCTCATTTAAATGTAGCATTTTGTTGCTAATTTTGTACTATAGGAAAAAGCAAATCCCACCTAAAAAGGTATATGAAACCTTAATATTTACCTAGCCCTCAACTGTTAAATAAACCGCTGAAAGCATTTTGTGAAAAGAAAAAAAAAAAAGCACTGATCCTGCCAGAAATATAGAGCTGTCTTGTTCACTGTTATAGTAAGTCTTTCTGCCTAATTCACCTCCCTCCACCTATATCATAATGATTAGGGGAGAAGGTAGGGATTAGTAGGTCAACATACGATACGGGGCAGGGCTAACCGACACCAGACTTGCGATTTCAGTGGAGGAAAGGAAGTTGTGTGTTGCCAGTCCAGAACAGGAAATTAGGAGTTAGGGAAAAATAAAAAAAAAAAAAAAAAAAATTTATATATATATATATATATATATATATATATATATATATACACACATATATACATACATACATATACATACATATATACATACACATACACATATATACATATATATATATATACACACATACACATACACACACACATATATACACACAATATATATATATATATATGCACACACACACATATACAGTATATATGTACACACATACATACACACACACAACTCTGCAACATTGTCATACACTAAGGGCTCGTGCAGAGCTAGAATACGGCCATATTTTGGTAGCACCTGTACAAATGAAATACAGGATATGGCTGTATGCAGCTATAGGAAGCCCTGTGTACGGACATATTCACGCTTAGAACTGTGTGCACCAACGTACAGCTGTATTCTCTAATGGGTAAAGCCAGTTGTACACAACCCCTGTGGCACCCAAGTCCTGTAATAAGCAGGTAGACGCCCTTCCGAGTGTAAACACTCAATAGTATCCTGTGGGGCTGATCAGATGTTTGAATGACAGCTCCACTCAGTTCTGAAAAAGGATGTGATTTGCTGTGGCTTAGCCCCACCCCTGACTATACTGAGGTGAAAACTTTTTTTTTTTTTTTTAAGAGGGCTTCCTATGTAAACTAACTTCTCGTGGCGCCCCCTACCCTTGAGATGTGGGCAAACGTTTTGGGGTTCTGACGACCTTAGCCTGGGCCTAGCATCAGATGTTTTTTTCATCTTCGGTGTATGCGTACTAAGTAATGTGCAAGTGTAACACTCCATATTAAGTTCCTGTGGGTGACACACTTATTCTTTCACAGTTACATACATACAGCTCTCCAACAAGCTTCCACTCCTGTACTCCACAAATTTTAATACAGAATGTGCAGCTGAGCAGGAGACAGTATTAAATACACAGAAGAACATGTATCTTTCATTTGTGAAGCAGGTAAAGTCTTTGTTAAAAGTCTGTTTGCTCTCTAAATGGCCTCTCCTCCTTTCTCTGTCATTAGTGGTTTCAGGGATGTTTCGCAGTGGATGAGGGGCAAGAGAGACTAGGCTGAGGGACAGTCCATGGATTTGATGGATTCCCCTCCATTTCATGTCAAATACTTGAAGACAAGAATCATGACCACACAGGTGAGAATCATGCCTCCAATCATGATGACTTTATCCTGAAATGCTCTCTTCTCAATCAGCCGCATAACCGTGTTAGACAAACCGAGCATGTTGGCCACATCCAGGATCTTCTTCTGGGTCCCCTGATGAGATAACGGAACAATGGGGTCAGAGAAGGGAGGACAAAAGGTAAAAAGATGGAGTTATATGAATGATGGCTTAGAAGACATAGCTATATGTAGCACAGATCTGAATGAGGTAAGAGGAGCAGAGATAAAAAAATAAGATATTGAAAATCATTTACTAATAACTTTATGCCCCCAATAATTAGTAGGCTTCATTTATCAAAGGATGTCTGTGTGTGTTTTCCCTGTAGTAACCACACCAACTGAACTGAATGGTGGTGGACCACACGCATGTATAAAAAGAGAATTGTTCTTCCAACTAATTTCAAGCTGAATTCTAAGAATGCTATATTTTTACCTAAATTGGTCCAGCTTGGAACAATGTAACTAATGTATGTATTTACCATACCTAGCCGATGGCCCTGGAAGCAGACTACTCTAGAGATCTCCACTTGCTTCTGGATTCCATGCAAAGTGGCTGGCCTGATGCATTGTGAACACAGGAGGTTGACCACTAAGCATGGATGCCAGTCCAAGCATGCTTTTCATTTTCTGAATGAATGCAAAGCCTTCTCTGAATGCATGATGATGTCACATTTTGCACCTCATCCAGTCAGAGAATCCTTTGCATGTATCTCACTAAAAAGGTTTAATTATTTGCTTTAATGTAAAAAGATTTAAATGCTTTAATTCTCCCATTATGAAAAATGTGATTCAGATCAGATTTAGTCACAGCTGTTTTTAACAACAAATGATTCTTGGAGACATCTTAATACATTTATTAAATCTAAACTGGCATAGGTTACTTGTACCTGGGTAAACCTTATACCCTTTCATAAATCATGTCCTTTTCACTGAAATAATTCTGGAATATTAGTAAAAATGCCATTCTACTAAATAATTATTGTTAATCATATAGAACGTTTGTTCACCGAGAAGAACTTGGCATCTTTCTATTGGAACACCCCTGGTATCATCGGTCTACATGTGGATCCTTTTAGCAGCCTGATCTATTGTTCAAGAGGTTAAAGCCTATGGAGACATTAGGAATCACTGAGAGCTCTAGGTAGGCTTGTGAATGGATTCTGTCTACAGGTGTCATGAACCCATAATAAAAGTTGGTTTTTACATTCAGTATCAGCAACATTCACACACGGGACAGAGAGAATGAGTTAATGTTTGTTAATGAAGGTGAGTGAGCACTGGAGGTCACTGAAAACCTCAGTCTATCGATTACCATTTTTGTATATAGTTTGCAAGCAGGGAACACTTAAAACTCCTACCAGATATTTTCCTTCTATGTGTGTCTCATTTAGGAGATTACCTTTCACTTACTGTTCCAGAGACAAAACAGGCAGTGAAAGGAAATATCCTCTAACATGGCTGCCACTATTTGGCGATTCCCCCCCCCCCTCACTTCCTGTAGTGGCGAAATCTTCCAAGCAGAACCTAGACAACATAAAACAAAGTTGACTTCCAGGTCTTTTAGCCATTATGTCCACAACTTAAGGAAACATTAGGTATAGATGAACTTTAAAGGGTCTGTAGCAAAAAGAGGTAAATCCAGCATGACTCAGTTATAAAAATGGCAGCTGCAATAAGTGGGGATTGTTCGTGTGGAGTAAAGTAACCATGTACAGTTTTGAGACCCATTGACCTGTAACCACTGCTGCATGTGCTAGGTGCTGGAATCATGGACGTTTTACAAGGATTTGCTGACACCATGGAAGGAGCAGGAGTTGGTGCATTGGTTCCACAAATGCCCAGTATAAGCCTGGGTTCACATATATGCGGTGTGATATATCGCATGTGATTCACACAGGAACCGCACCACATTCCTGTGCAAATCACATGCAGTTTGTGTGCAGTGCAATTGGAGCTATACAAAAAAAAAAAAAAAAAAAGTGTCCTGCACCAAAAAACGTGCAGGACACTTTTTTTGGTCCATACATCGGACCGCTTTCGGGGTTTTGTCAACATAACATACACACCCACAGCGGATCGCATGAACAGGGTGCGATTCTGATGCGGTGTGGAATTCGCACAGAAAACGCTGCAAATGCCGCACCACATCAGTGTGAACCAGGGCTAGCAGCTTAATGAATTTAAAGGCCACCCTGACCCAGTTATACTCACCTTGCCCATGCTGCTCAATTTGAGCTGACTCAAAATACCTGGCATTTCCGGGTATCTGGGAGAATGTGATGTTCTTTCATGATGTAGTACTTGAGTGATTGACCAGTGGCCAAGCCTGAACTCTGCCATGTGAAGGAGAGGTGACCTCATCAATGCTATGTAAGCCTAGGCATAGAGTGTACATAAGGTTTGACTCCTGGGCCAGTGAAGCACAAGGAAAGGTAATAGAAGCAGGTTTGAGGATCGGCTTTAAAGAGACTGTCCATTTTTCCATGACTGGGTAAAGAAACAGTGTCTATAAAGTCAACCTGTTTTGAGAGAACTGAAGAGTCTCTACAATCGATGATCTCCTTCTGAAAAAAAAAAAAGCTTGATGTCTGGTCATCTCTGGCATCATTATTTTCTAAGTCACTGACCCAGAAAAAGCATGGGGCCAGTGAACTCAGGAGTATTGTCAGAACCTTTTATCTGCAAACATGTTCAGAGACAATGACTCCAGGGGTTCCGAATTAATAGGACAGGCCAAGTCTCTCAGTTCGGGTTTTAAAATATTAATGCGGCCTGGATGCAGAAAGCAAAGTTGCGGGTCATGTCTTCTTCCCAGTTACACCAATTACCCAATGCCCCAATCTGGCCAACTGATTCCCCACCTTTAAAGTCTTCCTTTGGTCCCTCAGCCCATCCAGTATACTGGTACCACTCCCCAGGAGGTCGTCTATGCCTTGGTGTGCGTTACGGACAGAGGAGTTAAATTGAAGGGTCTCATCAATGTGTATTGAGGTCTCTGAATCCTGTGTGAGAGATTGGCAAGTGACTGCACTGATTATTTGTTCTTATATAAAAACATTAAGGGTTTCAGTTTTTATAGCATTCTTACAGATTATACCCTACAGTCTCACATCTGTCTACAGTGCACTGGTAGCAATATAAGACAAGTATACCTGTCATTCTGTAGAAAATTCTTGCAAGAAGTGGAGCAAAAAATAGGCATTACCAGATTTTTTTAGGTTTTTTTAATGAAGGTTTTAGTGGATTTGGGAAGGGTTAAGCCACAGAGACACCATACCTTAAGCATGCCACTCTGTATATATATAGTAGGTCCAAATGGTCAGGTGCCACTTAGGATAGAAGAAACCCCTGCAGAGGTCCCTATACAGCTAACAGGTGTGTCAGTCACACCTTAAGCTGGCCATAGATAGTAAAGGAACAGATTCCTCCATCCACACAAATGAGGTAGCTGGAGGAATCCCCCTGCCAGGACCTTGTATTCAACAACAAGCATGAGTGACTAAGGAAAGAAAAAAGATTCTAGCTCAACATGGTACATCCAAAATACATTAAAACCTTCAATACTAAAACAAACAAGTACAGTGTCTACCTTACATGTCCTTTCCTTCTAAGCATACATTTACTATGAAGATTACAAAAGGACTAAATAGGGAAAAAGTTATTTGACTGAGTAAAATGGAGCAAAATAATTTGGGATGAACTCCAAGTAAGATTAATAGCAGACTGTGTGCAACTATTACACTGGGAAATGGGTTGCAGACATGTTCATATATCCAATTAGTAATGTCTGGCTGATGGTTTCCCACAAATAGTATTCTTTTTAGTGTGAAGTGGAAGAAACAATGCTAGGATAGTAAAGGTCTCTGTATACACCATCAAGAAACAATGTGTATAGCCTTGTATATGGTAGCCTTGGACATCACAGAAAAGCATAAATACAAGCAGAAGGTTTATTGAAGGTAAAAGGTCTCTCTCCACTCAGATTCTACAAGGAGATGATTTATACAATTTGCCACAAAATTTGAGCCCAGTTGGGTTTTAAATTTAATATGAAAAGTCTGCCCCATATATTTAGCCACAGTGATGGCATGGGTTGGGTTATCATTTAGCTTTTTATTTCTTTTATATTTTTCACCCCCTGTAGCAGGTTTCCAAAAGTGAGCACCTTTTGTAATGGCTGATGTCCAGACCAGAAATCCTAAAGGGTCAGTCCACTATTTCAGTTTTTTGGTGGATGCTGGAGAGTTAGACCATGTGTATATTATTAGGTATTAGGCACTTCAGCATTTAAATATCCACTTATGAGCAGAAGGTAAAAAAAAAAAAAAGGGAGAATAATTTTGGTACAACAGAGGGGATGAGACTATGGCAGAGCCAGGAAGCTTTGAGAAATGTAGGGATCCAGGAAATTATGAAGCCAAGGCTGCTTTTTTATTATGAAAATGGGACAGTTGGCCTGGACCCACCAGGTATGAAGGGGAACATCACCCTAACAATCCTGTCCAGCTGATCATAACTGTAATCAAGGCATTGGGACCCCTACTCTCATATTCCGCCTACAGAAGGGGAGGCTGAGCGCAAAGATCCCACTGCATCAATTACAGGGACAGGCAGTGAGACCTACGCAGGGCATAGCAGGCTAAACCACTGAAAACCAGCAAAGAATTATACGGGACCTACCCATTAGAGATTTGTCCTGGACTCAAACTTTTAATAAAATGGCCCTCAATGTAGATGAGAGGTGAAATTAGTTATCAATTCATATGTTCATGGTATGAATAAACGTAGGCAATTTGGGAAGTTATGGGAGTGAGACTTACATTTGTGGTGTAACTCCGTGTCAGCAGCTCCTCACGTTCCCTCTCCTGTTGTTCTTTGGCATAGCGCCGATGTTGAAAATTCCTCAGTGCCGTCTGTAGATGCTGCACGTCATATTTCAGCTGGTCTACCCGGCTACCAAAGTAAAAATTGCACAAGAAGGGATAACTCCTTACGCTTACAGGAATCTCTTTTACAGGACACAATTACTATTCTTTAAAGAAGAATCAGTAACAGAAGAGAGGTGATGTGCAATACAAAATGATCCCATCAATAAACTGAGAATCCACATGTAGTGTTCCACACATGCTCACGGCAAATGCCCTTTGTCTCTCTTTCTGCCATACAATGGTTACTCAAAGAATATAATGTGTTTAAAAATGTTTACCACAAATACAGTTGTCCTTTAATTAAAATCTCACCCCTGCCCACTTGGTAAAAAAACAAAAACAAAAAAAAAAAAAAAAAAACACACACCACACACAACCTACTTTCATACCCATTTCAGCAATCTTTGAAAGACTGTGTGACACCAGGCAGGGCTGCATAAGAAATGCTCTGGCCAGGTCTTCTTCCTAATGTGCACACACCACTGCCCATTTATTCCTATGGCTCAGCCATACTCCATGGAATGGCTGGAGACTATATAAAGTGCGTGGTCTATCCATGGGGCCACAGAACAAGTGTACAAACAGTAGGCAGAAGACACGGCTGAGATGGTTTTTGTTGCAAAGGCTGTGCATATATCTGGAATAGGAAGGAAAGTATTTTACCAAGTGGGCTGGAGGGATTAATTAGAGGACAACTGTACTAAAATGTCCTTTAAGGATAACTGTCATTGAGCAAAATGGTGGCTATCATTGTTACGTTCCTTCTAAACATGACATAGAGATAGACATTTTTTTCAGACTTCCTGTGGCTTCCAGCCACTTGACATTTCTGAATTGGAAACCTCAAGTAAAAAAAAAAAAAAAAAAAAAAAAAAAAAAAAAAAAACCTGCATACAAACAATAGCAGCAACATTCTGTGGTCCCATTACTGGACCTCCCAACAGTGGAGACATGGCCGTTACTTACATTGAAGAAAGCTTTGTTCTGCCTTTTAGCATATCAACACTAGGAAACAGGCACTATTAACGACAGTAAATCCTTTATCAGAAGACATCAGGAAGGAACGAGATTAATAATCCAAATGCTGCATTTTACTGCATGAAATTCTGTGCCAGTTTTAGCTTTTTTTTTTTTTAATTTTTATATATATATTTTTTCAATGTTTGCTACAAAGCAGAAATTTGTTAATTATTTCTCTAATATGTCTTTACACAGGCAAATCCCACTTGCTCATTTCCTGGATGCGCAGTCTTTTGTCCCGGTGCACTGTGGGTTAATGGAGGTAACTACCTGTTCAGTATGGAAACTTGACTTGCTATCACAGAACCATACACAGGAAACCTGTTTCAAGCCCTTCTCCTGACCTGACTCATTTAAAAGCTTCCCAAAACCGCCCTGGGGGTGTGTGTGGAATCCGAAGCAGGGGGGAAGTGTGCATGCCAGCTACATAAGTATTCCAGTTCTCACTCCTTACCTCCCCCTCTCTTTAGTAAATTATTATTCTTGTCCATTTCCAACCCTTTTTGAAGTCCAGGTTATAGTGGCAGATAGGATCTGAGGCATTTTGCAAACCATAAAAAAAAAATAATTAGAATTATGGAAGCAGAGACTTGTAAAGAAATTATTTTTGCTTCCGTTTCATACCAGTAGAGTTTATCTTCTTAACCCATTCTAGGTAGGTTCTTGACTGTACATTACAATGGGTGGCAGGTAATCCCATATCCGAGTGTGATGAGGGTAAAAGTGGATAACAGGAAAAATGTAGATCATTACAAAGTTGTAAAGGGCACCAACTAGTCTCCAATTTAAAAGTTATCCTTGGACACATGCTAACAATTTTAGGAAATGTGTGATTTCATGTCAAATTTGTGTTTTTGCTGACTGTACAATTTCTGTACACTTTCTATCTCATTAACAACTACATAATGTAAAGTTTCAATGTAACAATACATTCAATTTTTATCCAAATAGGCAAACCCATGATTTATTGTAGATGAACACTGCCCACCAAAAGCTGCATTTTGTATATTTTAAACACTTTAGTCGCCTAATTTTAATGTTTTACAAATAAAAAAGGGGAGTTATGATTTACAAAGGATTTGGTTGGCAGAAAAAAAATGTTGACTTTTTATGAGAAAGTTTGTTCTAAGCAACATTATTCACAGTCTATAAAGTGCTATACTTGATATCAATAGAGGCTAGGACCATAAAATGACTGTCTGGGACTGATGTAAAATAAGTTGACAAAAGTGTTAGAAAGCCAAAAGAACTAATATTGTACCATCAGCTACACAATTGTATTCGCTTTAGATACAATAGGGAATGGTTAAAACCTCAGTTTTTTTTACTGTATGTTTCCCCATATTTACCCTCAGTTTCTGTCCCAGCAACAGAAGATTTCCCTAATGGGGCTACAAATCTGAATGGTTGTAAAGCCATCCCTACTATATCCAAAACCAAAAGGACATTTTTTTTTCTTGGGGTTCCACTCTAAGTAATTGACATCTTAACCTTTCACTTTTCTCAAAGCTGCAGTGTTCTCTGGGAGAATCTGGCAAAGGGTCCATGGTTTTCAATTTGCTGCATTGCCTTGGCTCAGATTCAGGACCCTAGAAACTGTAATAAATTGAGGCAGAACAAGAATGCCAAGTTGGAAAATTGTGGAATGAAATAAAACAAATAAAAAGAGGTGCTGGACTTGAGGCTTGACTTTCTTCAGATACAGGTTGGTAGTAGTCCTGGTTAAATGAATCCTGGTTGCTCAGAAAACATGAGTTGGGAGGACAGTTCCACACGTTTGAGACACACCTGACTTAAGAGGTATATGTGAACAGAAAAAAAAAAAAAAAAAAAACCAAGCAAAAGTCCATATATCCTTTATACTTGACAGTGAAATCAAAGCCAGTTAAAAAAAAACAGTATTCAATGCATTGGGGCCAAATAATGCTCGTTCATCAAGGCTTGGGTTTGGTTGCTAGAGTTCCAATATGGACAGTAATAAAACTTTTTGGTTAGATATTGGCAAATATGCAGAGCAGAATGGTGGTATATTTGCATTGCCAGTCTCACTCTTTACAAGATGAAAAATAGAGCCACTGAGTGGATGAGTGGACACGGTGCAGACTTAACCATCACGCCTGTATGAGGTATTTGGACATTGCATTCTAAAACCACAGAGTTGTCCCTCTCTTTGGAGTTAGAACAGCCTCCAATCTTCTGGGAAGGATTTCTACAAAATTGTGGAGCATGTCTGTGGGAATTTGTGCCCATTTAGCCAAATAGGCATTGCGAGGTCAGATACTGACGTTGGATTAGTGGACAAGGCCCACAATTGGTGTTCAGCAAGGATAAGTTCAGGGACCTGTGCAGGCCACCCCTGTTCCTACACACCAGACTAATCAAACAATGCCTACATGGAGATAGCTTTGGGGTCAGGGACATGCTCATGCTGGAACAGAAAAGGGCCTTCCCAAAATGGTTACCACAAAGGGTTGGAAGTGAACAATTGTGCCAAATGTTTTTGCATAATGTAGCATTAACAATACCCTTCACTGGAAGCACCTGAACTCAATAATTTGACAGGGTGAACTTTGGCCACAGTAGGTGTGATTGGGAGGTATCCTCAGTCTTTTGCCCAGAGTAAAGTATATCTCCTAAGGTCAAACGCAAAATGTTGCATAAGCATAGATTTAAATAATGGAAGCACATGGAGCTGAATGAACTATTTTGCATCGGGGGTTCAGTGGTTTACTATTGTACTCACAGTTTGGCATTCTGCCTTTTGCTGGGAGGCTCTTTGCTACACAGGATCTCCAAGCGCTCCAAGTTACTAAAGATCTGGTCTATTCTTGCTTGAATTTCATTCTCCACAACTGGTACGAAATTAAAGGGAAGAAGATCATATGACTAATTTTGAAAGTGTTCTAATGCTTAACCACATCTTGTGGATATAAATCCACAGTGTGGTACAACAGGCAATTACATTTAAGAGAATATAAAGTAATATATATAGCGCATTTCATTGCTGGAAGCTATAGTGCAGTTTATGTGAATGGAGGGAGTGGGTGGAATGGGAAGGGTATGTCCAGTGGCTGTATTAACACCGCACCACTGGAATATTAATGCTGCAGGGGTATGGAGGGGGGCAGAGGACTGAAGATTTTAACTAAGAAAGTAGCCACCAACACAAGGGACACTTTTCACTGAATGTAAATACTGTCCCTTGTGCTGATTTAACCAGTTCCCAACCGTGCTATAGCCAAAGGACAGCTACAGTGCGGTTGTGTAATTCTAGGAAGACGTCCATGGACGTCATTCCAGAACACGCCCCCCCTGCGTGCCCCCAGTGATCGCTGTGTCCTGTGGACACAGCTGATCACGTGATATGGTAAATGGCCAATCATGGCGGCCTTTTACCACGTGATCAGCTGTGTCCAATGACACAGCAGATCACCGGGTAAATACAGTTATCAGCTGCACTTTCCTCACGCTGTCACAGTGTGAGGAAAGTACTGCCGAGAACCAGCAATTGTCAGTGAAGGGATCGGCACTGATGATCAGGCCACCCACCTGTGCCCTGCTGTGCCACCCATCAGTGCTGCCTATCCATGCCACCTCATCAGTGCCCATCAGTGCTGCCTATTAGTGCCCATCAGTGCGGCCTATCAGTGCAGCCTCATCAACGCACATCAGTGATGGAGAAAAATTACCTGTTTGCAAAATCTTATAATAGAAACAAAGAAAACCTTTTTTTTCCTATTTTTTGTGCTTTTTTTTTTTTTTTGTTTATTGCGCAAAAAATAAAACACCCAGCAGCAAGTAAATACCACCAAAAGAAAGCTCTATTTGTGTGAAAAATATGATAAAAATGTCATATGGGTACAATGTTGCATGACCGAACAATTGTCATTCAAAATGCGACAGCATTGAAAGCTGAAAATTGGCCTGGGCAGTAAGGGGGTATAAGTGCCCGGTAGGCAAGGGGTTAAATAAAAAAAATAACTGAATTTGGACTATTACTTTTGGAGAAAATAAATAATCTCAACAACATGGGAATGTTGTAGAAACATTGTTGCGGTTGATAGTCTTTATATATAGTTATAGCAGGGGTGGACAAACGAATAGAAAAACTCAGGAGCCAGTCTGTCCAATTCAGCAGGATTTTTTAGGATCCGGCTCCATTATTGACAGCGAAATGAAACTTCAAAAGTTAGGGACCAGCTGTCCTTTGTGGGGAGCATTGACAACTTGGCTCCTGGACAGGGATGGACTGACAACTCATGGGGCCCCCGGGCAATAGGGGATCATGGGGCCCCTGTGTCCTTGCCCAAACTCAAAAAAAGCCTATGAAAAAGGTACCAGGGGCATCTCATGGGGCCCCCTACTGACCCCGGGCAGTTTCCAAATGGTCAGTCTGCCCCGGCTCCTGGAATTGGTACAGCTCTGGCCTATAGGGTTAGCAATATTTGAACTGTACTACTCTGTGCAGGGATTGTGCTTTATTGCTCAATACTTATCAGTACTTGTGTACTGTGCTACACATATCAGCAGTGATGCTGTGAAATTATTTTCTAGAATGATCCACAGCAGAAACTGAGGATGTGGCGCTTTCATTTTCTAGTGGTTTTCTTATTCCTGGTTTCCCTTCTTATTTTCCCCCTTTCTTTTTTCCTAAAATTGCCTCTTAATTTGTAATAAAAAATAGAGGGCTGTAAAAAATGAGTGGCGTATGTAATATACACTCGCCTGTCTTTTTCTCACCCATTGGGCATACGTGTGTGTGTGTGTGTGTGTGTGTGTGTGTGTTTGGGGGGGGGGGGGGGGGGGAAATTTCAAGTGAGAAAGCAGCCACCACTTCTCATTGAATGTGATGTTTCCTCATCTTATACATAGGGGATAACCATGACACTTACGATGTACAGACTGTTTGTCACATGTCTCCAGACGTCCCATATGAGACTGAACCTCGTGGACATGTCTATGAGAGAAACATGGGTCATTTTAAATAAAAAAAAAAAAAAATGGTACAATATAGCTAGCAGTCATGCATGTTGCAATGTAATAAAGTGTAAAAAACCACGTCGGTGGATACACTTTCTTTCTCCGCTTTACTTCATTGCACTTTATGTATTTGAACAAAGCTTTTGGCATGCCGGTCATGAATGAGCAATAAAAACCTGACGGGAGTCTGTCAGTTTCACACTTTATAACTAAAAAAAAAAAAAATTCTGGCTGAAGAGGCACTTTAACTTTTAAAGGGGACCTTGCATAAAAATACAATCACACAAACAAACAAAGTCACATGATTAAGCCCTGGTTCACACTAATGCGGTGTGGTACATCACATGTGATTCGTACAGGAGTCTGTTTTCTGTACAAATCACATGCGATGTCTGTGCGGTGCGATTTGAGCCATACATTTATTATGGCTCAAATCGCATCTCATCCGCACCAAAAAGGTGCAGGACCCTTTTTTTTTTCCCTGCACCTGATCCGCATCGCATGGGTATTCACACCCATACAATGTGAATTCTGTGTTTTGCGATCTGTTCCGGGGTGTCGTTAATTTAACATTGACACACGTACCAAATTTCATGGACACCATGCGATTGCAATGAGGTGCTGGAAACGCACAGGATTCACTACAGCTGGAAAAAAAAAACCCCTGTAAAATCCTCACCTTACCTCTACTTCCAATGCACTTTCCTAGAAGAGGATGATGTCACCGTGCCCCAGCTCAGGATCCTGGAAAAACTGAGGATCCACATCCTCCAGCACATGAGCCCATTCTTGTGGCCTTTGGGATTCTCAGTTTTTTTTTATTTTACTGATTATTGAGTTTACAATAAGGCATAAGAGGGGCAACAAAGCGCAGAATACAGGCGTCTGCTGTACCAATCAACAGGTCAAATGTTGGCACCTACTGACATCTTCTACAAGGATGATATTGGATGTAAGGTGATGGTTTTTTTTTTTTCTTTCCTTCTCTCTTCTTTTTAGGCTTTCAAGTAGAAATGAAAAACAAAACTTTTTTTTTTTTTTCCCCATTTTGGATAAAGTAAGAAGCCCTGTGGCACATTTCCCTTCACCTCCTGTCCCATAGACAAACCAGGAAGTCCCAGGTGCCCACATTTGAAGATTTCCCCTCCATTCCTGTTTTAAGGAGCATACAAAATTTAAAAATTTGTATCAGTTTCACTCTGTGATAATGGTCACTAGGAGAAATCAAGATGATGAATCTCTTCATGGTGACACAGACAGCAATAAAGACCTGACATGAGTTTCTACTCCCTCTCCACTCTGTCCAAAACTGAAAAAAATCTTCTAGTTTTCTCTATTTTAAAGTATAGTTAAATGAAAAAAATGTTTTTTTAGTTAGTTGGATAGTGTGGAGAGGGATTAGAACACCTGTCAGGTTTCTATTGCTGCCTGTGCCCCAGTTAGGAAGATTCACCCTCCATTTGGGCAGCACAGTGGCTAAATGGTTAGCACTTCCATCTGGCAGTACTAGGGTCGTGGTTCGAATCCCAGCACCACGTGTCTGGAGTTTGCATGTTCTTCCTGTGCCTGCGTGGGTTTCCTCCGGGTACTCCGGTTTCCTCCCACACTCCAAAGACATGCTGGTGGGTTAACTGGATCCTGTCTAAATTGGCCCTAGTATGTGTATGTATGGATGTGAGTTAGGGACCTTAGATTGTACACCCCAGGGTTAGGGACTGATATATAATATATATGTAAAGCGCTGTGTAAATTGACAGCGCTATATAAGTACCTGAAATAAATAATAAATAAATTTGTCCTGCTTACTATTATTACTGAAAGTGAAAGAAAAATCACAAGTTTTGGGTTGTCACCAGAACAGGAATGGAGGGGAAATCTTCTAATGGGAAAACTAGACCTGGCGTCATGCTAGGATTCCCTCACTTTGGAGAGATTTGCTCTCACATCCTGTTTTGGCTATGGGACAGAAGGTGAAGGGAAATCTCCCTAATAGGACATAGATGGCAAAAAAATCTGACAGGGGTTATAGCCCGCCCTTATTCTATCCAAAATTAAAAACATGTTTCACCTTTAGTGCAACTTAGTTCTTTTTTCACGGGATGGCTGACTAATAAGGGGCCGCGCACTGCCACATGTGTAGGCTCTGTCATGTCACTCTGATCCTCCATTCACTACCTAATAGGGGGAATGTACTAAAATTGGGGGAGACAGAATCTGAAGCTGCTGTGCATAGTAATCCATCATCTTCAGCTTGTTCAGTTAAAGTGGAACTATACAAACCTTCTCTCCGGTGCTGTGATGTCCCAGAGCTCCCCGATACCCTCTCATATCTTTAGCCCAACGGCTTCCAGGCATCCATCCCCAGCTGTTTTCATTGGCCGGGCTGAGATGACATCACTCTTGAGCAGGGGCGGACTGACAACTCATGGGGCCCCCAGGCAATAGGGGATCATGTCCCTGTGTCCTTGACCAAACTCAAAAAAAGCCTATGAAAAAGGTACCAGGGGCATCTCATGGGGCCCCCTACTGACCCCGGGCCCTTGGGCAGTGCCCGAGTTTCCAAATGGTCAGTCCGCCCCTGCTCTTGAGCATGCATGGGAGTCCATTCCACTTGGCTTTGACAAAATTCTACAGTGGGCTGCGCATGTACAGCTGCTCCAGATTCTGTCTGCTCCAGTCTTTGTCAGTTACCCTCAGTGAGTCAATGGACTCCATGCAGGACCATCAAGATGACAGCCAGGAAGCCTCCACCTTTATAAAGTCAGCTCTCACATTTCTATTATCACATGATCCCTTTACAGTAGAACTAAAGGCAACTTTTTTTTTTTCATTTTGAGTAAGGAAGGGTTATAACCCCAACATTTTTTTTTTTTTTTTATCTGTGCTGTGTCCCACTGGAGAGATTCCCCTTCATTTCCTGTCCCATAGTCAAAACTGGAGTGATTTCCTCTTGCATCCTAAGTGGGGGAATCCCTGGTTGTCACCAGACTTAGGGTTCCCATAAGAAGATTTCAAATTGTTTCCCACATTTCAGGTAGAGTAAGGGAGGGTTATGACCCCTGTCAGTTTTTTCTTTCTACAACATATGTGTCCCATTGTGGAGATTTCCCTTCACTTCCTGCCCCATAGCCAAAACAGGATGCAAGAGGAAGTCCCTCCAAATTGGGGGAATCCCTGGTTGTCACCAGACTTAGAGTCCCATTAGAAGATTTTTTTTTCACATTCCGGATACAGTAAGGGAGGGTTATAACCCCTGACAGATTTTTTTCACGTGGAGATTTCCCTTCACTTTCTGTCCCATAGCCATAACAGGAAGTAAAAGGAAATCCCTCCAAAGTGGGGGGGGGGGGGACTCAGGGTGTCACCAGAACTAGTGTCCCCATTGGAAGATTTCCCACATTTCAGGTAGAGTAAGGGAGGGTTATAACCCTGTCAGTTTTTTCTTCTACAACATATGTGTTCCATTGTGGAGGTTTCCCTTCACTTCCGGTCTCATAGTCAAAACAGGATGCAAGAGGAAATCCCTCCAAATTGGGTGAATCCCTGGTTGTCACCAGACTTAGTGTCCCCATTAGAAGATTTACATTTTTCTCACATTCCGGATAGAGTAAGGGAGAGTTATAACCCCTGGCAGTTTTTTCTTCTACATCTGTGTCCCATTGTGGAGATTTCCTGTCGCTTCCTATCTCACAGTCAAACGAGGATGCGAGAGGAAATCCCTCCAAATTGGGGGAATCCCTGGTTGTGACCAGACTTAGTGTCCCCATGAGGAGATTTAATTTTTTTCACATTCTGGATACAGTAAGGGAGGGTTATAACCCCTGTCAGTTTTTTCTTCTACATCTCTGTCCCATTGTGGAGATTTCCCTTCACTTCCTGTCCCATAGTCAAAACAGGATGCAAGAGGAAATCCCTCCAAATTGGGGGAATCCATCCAAAGCAGGGGGGGGGGGGAGGCGGGGCGGGAATTCAGGGTGTCACCAGAACTAGTGTCCCCATTGGAAGATTTCCCCTCTATTCCTGTTCTGGTGACAACCTGATGTTTGGGATTTTCTTTAACTTTCAGTAATGGCAGACAGGACAAATAGAAAGGGGGGGGATTTCTCTAATGGGGACACAGACATCAATATAAACCTGACAGGGGGTCTAATCCATCTCCACTCTGTCCTGAGCAATCACTAACACACTGAGCAGCTACATATATATTGTATATCTCTTCTACCAGACGTGTGTGTCTCCTATCACTGTGTCAGTGCCATCTGTGCCACCTGTGCGGGCCATCAGTGCCATTCCCCATCCCCTGCATAATGACAGCTGATCCCTGCGGCCCCTTCCCCTACACATCACATCACACTCCTCCCTGCCTAGCCGTCAGCCACACTCACTTGTTACTCTGATGATATAGAGAGCCTCCATGGCTCCAGCTCCTGGCTCCAGCCAGCACTCAGCGCTCGGCACTCGATTGCTTATCAATAGGCAATCGGCTCCTTTTTTCTATCTCCACTTTGCCCGGCACACGTCACCATTTCCGGGTTCCGGGAGAGCCCTGCAGCTACCGGGCTGTCTACATTTCTGCCTGTTTGCAGTTGTTTTGGTAGGCAAAGGGAAAGGCAGCTCCTGGTTTGTTTTCCTCTGTTACAAGTCACCGCGGCACGGTGATTGGATTATCAGAGAAGGTGCATGTGGTGGTTTGTCAGGCAGGACTAGGACACTTCCAAGAGGTGGGGGTCTAGGGGGTTGCTGCTATGGAAACAGTAGTTTGGCGGTTTTTGTAGGTGCATGTGAGAGAAGGCAGGAGGTAACCTGTGTGGTACTTTAGGTCGTGTAGGACTACAAGTCCCAGCATGTTGAGGCCTACAGATAGTGAGGTTTAATGTCAGAGCCATTTTATGAGAGCCTGGTGGACTGTGGGTTGGTTTACCTGATGGGCGGCCATGTAAATGGCACAGGTGCTGTGTACAGCTGCCCATAGACATGAATGGC